CCCATTGTGGGTCTCCATCGCCACCTCGCCATGTCCATTTTCAGGTTCCTCACACTGGGGGGGGGGGGGGGGGGGGGGGGGGTTTCCATTTTGTCAAAGGGTGTGGCGTTGGGCCTCCCATTGCTGCTGCCAGGCCCCTAAACCGGGGCCCCTGTCCCCTCCTTTCTGCTGCCAGGCCAAGTTTATGGGTCCCGTCGGCCCCCCATTGCTGCTGTCCCCATCGCCACACTCTCCCATGTGCCACTTTCGGGTCTCCTCACACTGTGGTGTGTTCCTTTTTTGTCATGGGGTCTGGCAGTTTAAAGGGGCCCTCCCATTGTGGCCACCCGTTCTGCCATGGGCCCCCGTACCCCCTCCTCTTTCGCTGGGCCCAAGTGTTCATGGGTCCCTGTAGGGCCTCCTTTGCTGCTGTTCATCGCCACATCTGCCATGTCCCCCTTTTCAGGTCTCCTCCATGTGGTGTGTTCCATTTTGTATAGGGTGCTGGCAGTTTACGGGCCTCCCATTGCTGCAGGCCCTAATCTGCCATGGGCCCTACCGCCCCCTCATGCTGCTGCCAGGTCCAGGTTCATGCTACATATGTTAGACCGCCTTTACGAACAGCGAAAGGCCATCACAGATTCTGATGTTACAAGCGGATAAAGGTACTCCCCTGTGTAACTTAGATGTCAGCCATTGGCAGCTCATGCGTGACACACTGCCGCTTGCTCAGGCCCTTTTGAGGACGGCCACGCTATTCGTGAGTCGGCAGGACTATGGGATGAACGACGTCATTCCTCTGTTGCACGTCCTGGAACAAATGCTGTTAACAATGGCTGGTCAGGGTGCGGTAGACGTGGCTCACAGATCTCAACGCCACATGACCCCTGTGGGGGCAGGACAGGAAGAAGAGGAGGAGGTAGAGGAGGACATTGGTGCTCAGGAATTTTTGAGTGAAATGGGTGGTTTTTCCACTCAGCGGACAGGAGTGGAGGTGCAGGAGCATCTGGTAGAGGAGGAGGAGGAGAGAGACAGAGGACCCAGACGCACCGTGGCAGTATGCTGTGGAGATGGAGGCAGGGAGTCCCTCGCATTCCTTGGCACAAATGGCCCATAGCATGCTCGGTTGCTTGCGTAGCGACAGCCGAATAATAACCATCAGACAGAGGGATGACTTTTGGCTGTCCACCTTGTTGGACCCTCGCTACCGTTCAAAAATGGTGGCCTTTTTCACACCTGCTGAGAGGGAGGCCAAAATAACGTACTATAAAAACCACCTATGTAGTCAGTTGGTCTCTGCCTTTCTGCGCCAACGTCCATCCTCAGACACTGTGGGCCCTGTGCGCTCGCGTTCCGCTGCCATGGCAGCAGGGGAGGGGTGGGGTGGTAGGAGCAGTGGCAGCTCCACCAGCAGCGGCTGCCTCAGTCTGCAGTCGATTATGAGTAGCTTTCTTCACCAGCGCAGTGAGGAAACTACTAACCAGCCGCAGCAGCAGCAGCAGCATCAGGTGGACCTGGAGCAGGACCTCAAACAACAGGCTTGGGCCTACTTGGACAGCACCCTGCCAACCGAGGTAGACAATCCCCTTGACTACTGGGCAACGAAACTTGACCTTTGGCCCCAACTAGCTGAATTTGCCCTTGAAAGGCTGTCATGCCCGATCAGTAGCGTGGCATCGGAGCGCGTGTTTAGTGCGGCAGGAGGTATTGTAACTCCGCGGAGGACACGACTGTCCACCCAAAGTGTAGAGAGACTCACGTTTGTGAAAATGAATCAGGCGTGGATTAGTCTGGATTTCAAACCACCAGTTCCTGACACAACTGACTAAATCCGCCATGAATCATGCCCCAAACATGTGCCACTTTTAGGTCTCCTCACACTGCTGGTGTGTTCCATTTTTTTGTCATAGGGTGCTGGCAGATTACGGGCCTCCCATTGCTGCTGCCAGGCCCGTAATCTGCCATGGGCCCCCGTACCGCCTCCTCATGCTGCTGCCAGGTCCAGAGTGTGTCATGGGTCCCTGTACGGCCTCCCATTGCTGCTGTCTCCATTACCACACTCTGCCATGTGCCACTTTCAGGTCTCCTCACACTGCTGGTGTGTTCCATTTTGTCATAGGGTGCTGGCAGATTACGGGCCTCCCATTGCTGCTGCCAGGCCCGTAATCTGCCATGGGCCCCTGTACCGCCTCCTAATGCTGCTGCCAGGTCCAGAGTGTGTCATGGGTCCCTGTACGGCCTCCCATTGCTGCTGTCTCCATCGCCACACTCTGCCATGTGCCACTTTCAGGTCTCCTCACACTGCTGGTGGGTTCCATTTTTGTCATAGGGTGCTGTATGGCCTCCCATTGCTGCTGCCTCCACCGCCACACTGTGGCTCCACACTCTGGTTTTGGCCCCGTGACTGCCCAAATGAGTGAAGTGTGCGGTGATTCTAAGATCGACGGCACTCATCTGCATGTCATACTGACTGACAGTATTATTTCTCTTCCCCAGCAGACTCCAAGGGCATTTAAATTAAAGGTACAGTGTTCTGCACTAATATGAAGGCTCTCTGAAGCCTAGAAACACCCTTTTATAAGTTAAATTCGCAGCGAATATATTTGCATCGAATCAAATTTATTCCTCGAATTCGCCGAATCAGCCGAATTAAATTTTTGAATACTTCGCTCATCTCTAATTACAACTTTTAAAATTCATTAAAAACAACTTTAGCTCCTCCTTGCTGACGTAACACCGCCACTTCTGGTTTCGGAACTGGCAGTCATCAATGTAAGGACACTGATTTTTATTTTTATTTTTTGATATTTGAATGCTCATTGTTACTCAAGTCACACGACTTTTAATAAAATACTACACTATATACGGCCCTTCTGGTATCTGGCTCCTTGCAGTGAGTGCATTTTTCCATACAGTGGTAGTGCGCATGGTCCAGCATCTTTGATTGATGTGTGTTGTTACCATCGAGATACCTCATGAGTGTGGATGGAATTGATACACATGAGCTGCTGGTTGTGTTAGCAGCTGAAAACCTGGTGAGTGCGGCAATATCTTTATTCACATCGCTGGTGGAATCGTGGAACAGTAATACTCATTGATTGGTTTATTTGGACTTTTACAAGGACTGTGTACATGTATTCCTTGGACATCTTTTCACTTTATTTTTTGCTTTTACACCTTCACTAGCTGTGATTTATTTTTAAACCATATCACTTTAAGATGATATTTTAAGGTGCTGCACTTTTGATTTTTTCAACATAAAACAATAAAGCAGAACCTTAGTATTCCCTATTTCCCACTTTATTAGTGCCCATGATTATAAAAACTTAGAGTTAACAACCTTCAAAGCTCTGAATGTTTGCATAGATTGTGGTTCACCCCATAGACTTCCAAAATGGCCGTGGGGTGATTTCACAGGCTTGGCTCCTCCCTCCTATCTGCCTTACACCCTGTTATTGGGCTTCCTCAGTAGGTGGAGAACCAACACATCTCGAGCCCTTATATAGCTTCACCCACTGCTTCCAATGGAACCAGATACACAAACCATGTGAAAACCAGAAGTGGTGTTTTCTGCCATATTGATTATCTCCTGGACATGGAAGAAGTGAACAAACTGCTCTGAAAACATGGGGACACCAACAATTTACAAAAAAAATCTCAAAACTTTCCCCAAACATATGTAAAGTAAAAAAATATAAAAAATACAGAACAATACACTTCCAGATATTGCTTCCTTATATTCCTTACATCACCCTCAATTCATAAAAAAATCTTTAAGCATAAAAAATGTAAGTATCCAATACATGACATGAATAACTATAAATAATACAATACTAAAATTCATAAAATACTAAAAATGCATGATTATAAAATCTAAGCCAATATGGAGGGTAGGTAAAGCTATATAAGGGCTTTAAGAGCTTTGAAGGTTTTAACTCTGTAAGTTTTCATAATTTTGTTGGGTGCTAATAAAGTGGAAAGTAGAGAGCACTATGGTTCTGCTTTCTTCTTTTATGCTACCCATATTGCTTGACATCTGAGCTCTGTGGCGCAGAAAGATTGGTGTGAATCTGGACCAAGAGGAAGAGAAGTGACAGAGTTAATTTGGGACAGTGTAACAAGCAAGTGATAACCTATGTATGAGGTCTAACAAGGAGGTGAGCATGTTTTTCACCTGTCAGTGGAGACATGCATGGCACATGAAGAAAAGTGAAGATTTTTTAACCACTTTTTTATACAGCAGTGTTTTAAATTAATCACAACTATTGAGGACTGATTCCACATTTTTTTTTGGCTGATTTGATCATTTTCATTTGCAATATATATTTTGCTCCTCAGATATTGTTGTTAAACTATTTTGTGTGGTATATTATATTTATAAGAGGTCTTATGGAATTACCTGTACAGTGTTTGAGCAGCAACAAAAAAAAAAGTTTCTAACATTTTTAGTTATTTCATATTTTTATTATTTTTAGTTATTTCACTGATATTACCAGGTTGCGCTGATTGCATTTTGGGTTTTAGTTGTAGAAGTATATATGTGTGTTTGTTTATTAGAAAGAGAATTGATTACCTTTATGTTACAACTTTCTGAAACTATAACAAGAAATACAAATGTTGTTTTGTGGCCCAGCGTCGTATCTATCTATAACTGGTACAGGAATGAGAATTCTTATAATAAATCACCCTTTCCAAACACATTTGTCATCTTTCTGACCCATTTTTAATAACCTGGTACAAAAATCAATAGTATGCAGGGCTCCGCAGCTTTCAAACAGGAATCCTCTCCTGAGGCTACTGCAATGAGCTGACAAAAGCTGGTTTTTGATTGGTTGAGTGTTTAAGAAGCAGGATTTTTTAAGTCATGTCCTTAAAGTGCACCTGTGCCCAGATGATAGGCATTAAGAGCCCTTTCACATCTGTGCAGTGCAATAATGGCTGCACAGTAACATGCATGGCATTGCAATACTCCAAACCATCCATTTTAATAGGCTGCCTAATACCCCAAAACACACAAAATTATGCATACATCATTTTTAGCAAATCAGAACACTGTGCGTTGCCATGTGGTATATTCCTCTAGCACACCATACTGGAGTCTACCATGTGATTAAGAGGGTGCTGCAACGACTCACAACTGGTCACATTCCGCAACATGGATGAAATATGTCACCAGCACACCCAGAGGTTTGTTTCAAAGTGTAGCATTCTTTATTGTATGATCACATTGTAAAATAATATTTCAGAACCATGCAGGGATCCTTCCTCAGGCATGTGATAAACAACAAATAATATAAACAAATCATCTACCAATACAGAAGGGACATTCCTTGGTCTCCAGAGACACTGGTGATGAAGCCTGGACCTTACAACTGCCCCTGGGGAAACTCACAAGAATTCCTGGCAAATACCTTTTTTTTCTCCCCAAAGGATGCAAGAGTGCTCACTCACAGGGATTTCGTGCACATCCTCTTGGAAGGGGATGCAGGTTATACCTATGGGAAGTAAAGAAATATAGAATTATCTGCCTTTTCTAAAAATGGCCACGGATAGAGGAGAGCTGTCGACTAAAAAAAAAGGAAAACAAATTAAAAGAAAGAAAGATTTAAAACTTAAGGTCCACCCTATAGCAGTTTTTACTGCTACAGAGCATACCTCCTGTGCAAGATCACACACATACACACATATATATATATATATATATATATATATATATACATACTGTATACACACACACATATATATATATATATATATATATATATAAAAAAAAACATTTTGTACTTCCGCCACAAGGGGGCACCGCAGAAGCCCATCTGCGGGTGCCCGTGAACGGATGTCCGCTGGCACCAATTGAACGTCGGGCAGGACACCAAAGAGCTCTGCCTATGTAAAAAAGGCAGAGCTCTGTTCTGACAAGTGGGGGAAAGATGGATCATGTGTCCCTGCAAATCTGGGAACATGATCCTTCACTTCGCCTAGTATAAGCATCACCTAGTGTACACAAATCACATAGCTAGGCACACAGTTGACCCTTGATCACTCTAGATGTTTAATCCCTTCCCAGCCAGTGTCATTAATACCGTGTCAGTACATATTTTTTAGCACTGATCACTGTAAGAGTTTGACTGGTTCCCACAAAGTGTCAGTTAGTGTAAAAATGTCCTCTGCAATATCGCAGTCCCACTATAAGTCATGATGGCCACCATTACTAGTTTAAAAAAATTTTTTAAATCCAGCATATGCCCCACAGTTTGTAGACTCTATAACGTTTGCACAAACTAATCAATATACACTAATTGGGATTTTTCTTACCAAAAATATGTAAGAATACATTTTGGTTTAAACTTATGAAGAAATCTGATTTTTTATTTTTTTTAATTGGATATGTTTTATAGCAGAAAATAAAAAATATTGTTTTTTTTTTTTTTTGCAAAATTGTTGGTCTTTTTATGTTTATAACGCAAAAAGTAAAAAATGCAGAGGTGATCAAATACCACCAAAAGAAAGCTCTATTTGTGGGAAAAAAAATTACACAAACTTCATTTATGTACAGCGTTGCATGACTGTGCAATTGTCAGTTAAAGTAACCCAGCACCATATTGCAAAAAATGGCCTAGTCATGAAGGGTGGTAAATCTTCAAGTGGTTAAGAAAATGTAATTATGTATTTTAGTTTTGTCTTTTTCAAAACATTTTGCAAGGCACCCTTATTTTTTGTTATGTTCTGAGTCAATTTTAAAGTTGGTTTTCAGTTGTTATTAGAATCTTACACTTACCTGGTTTTTATTTACATTAGAAGGTGGGCAGGCTGTCAATATTTTGAAATGATAGTAAGTAAAAGGAAAAGAAGTTTTGATTTCAAGTCCTCTGTTTTGAACTTTGAAAAAGAACTTTGCACAATGCCTATAGCTACAGAGGTTAGTGAATGATTTCTTCAGCCTGGATTCATACTAGTGCTGCAATATTATTATGCGTTTGTCAGGTCACTTTTGATGCACATTTTTGGAAGCTTTTACACACGTTTTTGATGCATTTTCATTTTCATGTAGGAGAACATTTCTGGTTAGAAAGCATAAAAGTCTAATGCACCAAAAAAACTCATGTCTTTGGTTTTATCATGCTATTGAAGTCTATGGGGACAAAAAAAAAATGCACAGTGCTGCACCAAAAGAAGCACTTACACTTTTTATAAAAATCACACTGCACCATGTTGCATTGTTGTGAATTGGCACCATGGATAATACTGTGATTTCTATTGTTGCGTATTGAAGTGAGATGGCAGCAGGTGAAATCGCTCTGGTGTGAAAAGGACCCTAAAGAGCTTTTAATTCCTGTTCACAATATGTATATAATAAAGTTCGTAATGCTTTAATGTGCATAGTCTTGGCACAAGATCAAATTGCAGAGGTTCTTATATTTCATGGTATCCATTCTGCTTGTTTGGACAGCTTTAGGAATCATAGGATAAAAGGCGGTTAGTGTGGTTTTCTAAAATTAAGAGTGACAATATTTCAAGAAATGATTTACTAAACTAGCATACAACAG